AGCAGAGAATCAACATCAAGGTCACAAGCTGGGGTCAGTTCAGGCATCAGAGAATCAGTGTTCAGGTCACAAGCCAGAGTCAGGGCAAGCAGCAGAGAATCAGCCTCAAGGTCACAAGCCGGGGACAGGGCAGGCAGCAGAAAATCAGTGACAAGGTCACAAGCCAAGGTCAGTAGCAAAAATGATGCGGATTATGTGTGGAGTACAATAATCTGGCACACAAACAGGAAAAGAAGGATTTAAATAGATGGACAATCACCATGACTGGCCACATGCTCAGATGTGGGTGAGACTCACTGCAACTGCATTGCAATTATGCAAAACTATGACAATTCCCATGGTTAAAGCAAAGACTGGAGTGGCAAAGTCATTCTTCAGTCCATGTGTGACCAGCATGTTAGACCCAGCAGACCCGGCTCCTGACACTGCCTCTTTAACCTTGTAGCATGAGAGGAAAAGTCCAAGATCTTAATTCAATATTTTATTGCTGCCTACAATACCCTGTTATTATGACTTGCTGAAAACTCAATAAAAATTTATTGTAAGTGAAATGACAGACATAATAAAACGTAAAACAAAGTTACATCTTACTAGGTAGAATTTCTACGGGTCAAGTAGACTGGACAAAGACTTTTCTGCACAGACACATATTACGACTTGCTGTATAGCAAATAACTTTCTTATGAGGCATTACTGGGTTTTTTACATTATTATACTTTATTTTGGATTTTATTATTTGCAGTATTATGCCCTTGGGTTTCAATGGGATTTCCCACACACTGGGATCCAATGAAGAGCTGGGATTTCCCACACACTGGGATCCAATGAGGAGCTGGGATTTTCTACCTCTTGGGATCCCTTGAGGAGATAAGATTTCCCACCCACTAAGATCCAGCAAGAAGCTGAGATTTCTGACCCACTGGGAATCAATGAGGAGCTGAGATTTCCCATCCACTGGGACCCATTGAGCAGTTGAGATGTTCCTCCCACTGGGATCCAATGAGGAGATTAAATTTCCCATCAATTTGGACCCAATGAGCAGTTGAGATGTTCCTCTCACTGGGATCCAATGAGGAACTGAGATTTCCCATCCATTGGGACCCAAAGAGCAGCTGAGATGTTCCTCCTACTGGGATCCACTGAGGAACTGAAATTTCTAATCGTCTGCGATCCAGTGAGGAGCTGACATTTGTGACCCACTGGGATCCAATGAGGAGCTGAGATTTCCCACCCACTGAGATCTAGTGAGAAGATGAGATTTCCCACCCATGAGGTCCAATGAATAACTGAGATTTCCCACTCACTGGGATCCAATGAGGACCTGAGAGTTCAACCCACTGGGATCCAATGATGAGCTGAAATTTCCAATCCACTAAGATCCAGTGAGAAGCTGAGATTTCATACCATCTGGGAATCAATGAGGAGCAGGGGAGGACTGACCATTCGAGCACTCGGGCACTGCCCGAGGGCCCGGTGTCAGTAGGGGGCCCCATGAGATGCCCCCTGGTACTGGGGGAGGACTGACCATTTGGAAACTCGGGCACTGCCTGAGGGCCCGGGGGTCAGTAGGGGGCCCCATGAGATGCTCCTGGTACCTTTTTCATAAGCTTTTTTGAGTTTGGGCAAGGACACAGGGGCCTATTGATCCCCTATTGCGCGGGGGCCCCATGAGTTGTCAGTCCGCCCCTGCCTAGTACCTTTCATTGGCTTTTTTATAGGGTTTTTTTGGGTGTGGGCGAGGACACAGGGGCCCCATGATCCCCTATTGCCCGGGGGCCCCTGAGTTGTCAGTCTGCCCCTGATGAGGAGCTTAGATTTCCCACCCATTCGGACACAATGAACAGCTGAGATGTTCTCCCTACTGGGATCCACAGAGGAGCTGAGATTTATCGAGCTGCTGAGATCCAATGCAGAGCTGATATTTCTTATCTATTGCGATCCAATGGGTAGCTGAGATTTCTGTCCCAATGAGATCGATAAGGAGCTAAGATTTCCCACCCACGAGGTTCAATGAAGAACTGAGATTTCAACCCACTGGGATCCATTGAGGAGTCGAAATGTCCTACTACTGAGACCCAAAGAGGAGCTTAGATTTTCCACCCACTAGGATCCAATGAGAAGCTGTGATTTTCCACCTATTGGGATCCAATGAAAAGCTGAGATTTCTTACCTGCTGGGATCCAATGAGGAGCTGAGATTGAATGCACCTGGGAACAGAGTGAAGGCTGTGTAATAGAAAGCTTTGATCTTATTACCTCAAAAATGCCAATGTATCCTCCTCCATCGTCCAGAGTCGACCTTCGATGAATTCTTACAAGGAGTGACCATCATGGACACTTTTCTAAGGGCGCATCATGACATTGGCCTGGACGTAATATAATCCAAGTGTAGATGTTTAAAAAAATTGCAGAGTCTAAAAAATAAACAAGCTTTTATATATGGCCAGTACTTTACTTACATCAAAGAAGACCAATTTTAAGTTTAGAGTATGAATTAAAAATAAAAATAAATAAATAAATGCAACAACAGTATGCACATAAACGCCAATTAGGCCTATCTTCCCTGGCACTAATGATGGGGCACTATTCCTCCCACTGACACCAATGATGGGGCACTATTCTTCCCACTGATACCAATGATGGGGCACTATTCCTCCCACTGACACCAATGATGGGGCACTATTCCTCCCACTGATACCAATGATGGGGCACTATTCCTCTTACTGACACCAATGATGGGGCACTATTCTTCCCACTGATATCAATGATGGGGTACTATTCTTTCCCCACTGATACCAATGATGGGGCACTATTCTTCCCACTGACACCAATGATGGGGCACTATTCTTCCCACTGATACTAATGATGGGGCACTATTCCTCCCACTGATACCAATGATGGGGCACTATTCCTCTTACTGACACCAATGATGGGACACTATTCCTCCCACTGACACCAGTGATGGGGCACTATTCCTCTCACTGACACCAATGATGGGGCACTATTCTTCCCACTGACACTAATGATGGGGCACTATTCCTCCCACTGATACCAATGATGGGGCACTGTCCCTCGCACTGACACCATATTAGTGCACTATTCCTCCCACTGACAACAATGATGGGGTACTATTCCTCCCAATAACACTAATGTCGGGATACTATTCCTTCCACTAACCCCGATGATGAAACACTATTCCTCCCACTGACACCAACGATGCGGCACTATTCCTCCCACTGACAGCAATGATGGGGCACTATTCTTCCCCCTGACACCAATGATGAAACACTGTTCCTCCCACTGACACCAGTGTTGGTGCACTATTCCTCCCACTGCCACTAATGTTGGGGCACTCTTCCTTCCACTGACACCAATGATGGGGCACTATTCCTCCCATTGACACCACTGATGGGGCACTATTCCTCCCACTGACCTCAAAGATGATGCACTATTCCTCCCACTGAAACCAATGATAAGGCACCATTCCTGACACCAATGATGGGGCACTGTTCCTCCCACTGACACCAACAATGTGGCTCTATTCCTCCCACTGACACCAAAGATGAGGCAGCATTCCTGACACCAATGATGGGGCACTATTTCTCCTTTTACTGACCACAGATACTATGCCATTATTTTTACTCCGGCTTACATTGGGGCATTTTTTACTCCTGCTGGTCACAATCTGCCGCCCCCCCTCCCTCCAAAGTCTGAGTATGCAGGCCATAGATGGGCCTTCTTCTTCTTCTTCTTTCTTCTTCTTCCAGAAACAACTGTTTTTTTTTTCTACTCCTATAAATCTTTGCTTGGAAAATAAAATAAAAATTTTAAAGAACCTTTTTAGAACCTCATTACCTTTTCTAGGAATACAATTTAATTTTGGACTTTCAGAAACAAACAAAAAAAAAAAATATATATATATATATATGTGTGTGTGTGTGTGCATTTACAGTAAAAAGAATGCTGGCAACCTTGCAGGTCACGGCTCATGCGCACATTTTTTATCTGTAAAAACGATCAGCCGATTTGCCTATCATTGCCGGGAAAATCGGCCGATCGTCAAAATCGGCCGCAAATTTTCCAACATGAGCGATAAAAAAAAACTGTGCAAAAAACCCAAAAAATGGCCGACCAATTAACCCACTAACAGTGCGAAAATCACCCGATTTTTTTTTCGCCCGATTTTCGACCCTTCTATGGCCTGCCTTAGCTGGCCCTTTCTTTAGAAGGTTTGGAGACCCCTCTCCTAGACCAAAAGGAGCAATTAACCCTTGGAGTGCGGGCACACAGCCCCACCGCCAGGAAGATGTTTTCAGTTGCCCGGAGTTGTGCTTTAGGTTGTAGTTCCATACCATTGCACAGTTTAGTACATTTTTCACTTTGGATTTGGAATTCTGATCCTTCTGTGACAATATTTATTTTTTAATTTTTTTTATTTTCTCCTTTTCATTTGGTGAGAATGTAATCTGTCACTCGCAGGTACCAGCATCACTCATATAGGATGGACACAAGACCTAAACGTTGGCGTCGTCTCCTGGCACACATCCTCCCGCCGCCTCCTCCTCGCGGGTGCCACAATGGTTAACTCAAACTTTGCATATTGCTTTTGTAATTGTCTGAAAATTGGGTAATTAACTTTCAGAGGAGCCACAAAGTTACTGAAATGTTTGTTCTCATTAAAATGGAAATTCACAGTTGGGCAGCACAATGTACCAGCCGTGTTTTATAGTAAAGATAAGTCTAATAACTTTCTGCTTGGAACTTACAGCCTCCGATTTCGCATCATCAGAATTTCTTTTTTTTTTTTTTTTGAACGTTAAAGAATTAAAAGTCTTGTTAAGGACTGTAAAATCAGGAAAATCAATCAGAAAGCCCAGAGGATTCTCCTTCAAGTGAACCTGGCCAGGCTATGGGCCTTCCAACATATTCCTAACCAGAAGTCGGTAGGATTTAAAGTGCAAGTCCAGAATTTTTTTTTTTTTTATAGCGTAGGGAAGGATTGGAATCCCTGTCAATTTTTTACTGTTACAGATATTTCCTTTCACTTGTCTAGGTGACAATGGTTTTGCTAGACAGGAAATGAGGGAAAATCTGAAACAGGGACACCAACTGCAATAAAACGTGATGGGGGGCTCTAGACCAGTGCTTCTCAACCTTTTTTCAGTCAAGGCACCCTTTAAAATTATGGACAGCCCCGATGCACCCTTTCAAAATATGGACAACCCCGATGCACCCTTTAAAATTATGGACAGTCCCTGAGGCACCCTTTAAAATTATGAACAGTCCTGAGGCACCCTTTAAAATTATGGACAGTCTTGATGCACCCTTTGAAGTTATGGACAGTCTTGATGCACCCTTTAAAATTATGGAGAGTCCTGAGGCACCCTTTAAAATTATGGACAGTCTTGATGCACCCTTTAAAATTATGGAGAGTCCTGAGGCACCCTTTAAAATTATGGACAGTCTTGAGGCACCCTTTAAAATTATGGACAGTCTTGAGGCACCCTCTAAAATTATGGACAGCCCTGAGGCACCCTTTAAAATTATGGACAGTCTTGAGGCACCCTTTAAATTTATGGACAGTCTTGAGGCACCCTTTAAAATTATAGACAGTCCTAAGGCACCCTTTAAAATTATGGACAGTCTTGAGGCACCCTTTAAAATTATGGACAGTTCCGAGGAACCCTTTAAAATTATGAACAGTCCCGAGGCGCCCTTTAAAATTATGGACAGTCCCGAGGCACCCTTTAAAATTATGGAGAGTCCTGAGGCACCCTTTAAAATTATGGACAGTCTTGAGGTACCCTTTAAAATTATGGACAGTCCCAAGGCACCCATTAAAATTATGGACAGTCTTGAGGCACCCTTTAAAATTATGGACAGTCCTGAGGCACCCTTTAAAATTATGGACAGTCTTAAGGCACCCTTTAAAATTATGGACAGTCCCAAGGCACCCTTTAAAATTATGGACAGTCCCGAGGCACCCTTTAAAATTATGGACAGTCTTGAGGGACCCTTTAAAATTATGGACAGCCCTGAGGCACCCTTAAAAATTATGGACAGTCTTGAGGCACCCTTTAAAATTATGGACAGTCTTGAGGCACCCTTTAAAATTATGGACAGTTCTGAGGAACCCTTTAAAATTATGGACAGTCTTGAGGCACCCTTTAAAATTATGGACAGTTCTGAGGAACCCTTTAAAATTATGGACAGTCTTGAGGCACCCTTTAAAATTATGGACAGCCCTGAGGCACCCTTTAAAATTATGGACAGTCTTGAGGCACCCTTTAAAACTATGGACAGTCCTGGGGCACTCTTTAAAATTATGGACAGTCTTGAGGCACCCCATCCTAAAATGGGGTGCCTCAAGGCTGTCCATAATTTTAAAAGGGCACCCCATTCTAAGATGGGAAAAACTATTCTAATAGTTTTATATAACGCACACATGTAGGACACCCAACATTAGGGGGGGTTTTATTCTTCCAAAGCAAATACTTTTGCACACTGGTACCGACTAGTATTCCAGTGTTTCTCTTCTCCCTCAGTGTTTCTCCATGACTGAGCATATGTGACCCCAGCGTTGATGGAGAGGGGCAGGGGAGGGTAAAACTAGGATGCTGTGCAGGCAGTTGACATCCTCCTTATCGACTGATGATGTCATTGGTTGTCAGGATGCCGATGGCTATACGGTCATAATGGAGCACAATGAAAACCTGTGGCTTTGTATAACTAAAAGGCCGACTTGTTCCACCCACTGGCTTGTATACACGTTTTGAGCAGTTTTTAGACATTTTGCCAGGGCACCCCTGAAGAAAACTCAAGGCACCCCAGCATGCCTGGGCACCCTGGTTGAGAAAGGCTGCTCTAGACTTCCTCTATTATACTAAAGAGAAGCATGTTTATTTCTGCCTGTGTTGCAGCTGGAGATTTCCCCTGACTTCCTGTATTGTGAGATCTGAGTCAACAGGACAAGACGTGAAGGGAAATATCTCAAACAGAACACAATCTAGAAACAGAAAAACAGACTGGGTTTCTAATCTTTTGACCACTGTCCAAAACAAAAGCTAGACATATCCTTTAAAACAAGCCCTTACTGACCTCTGTAGTTGCAGACGCTGTGGAGCAATTCAATCTCACAGTTCAAAGCAGAAGAAAAAAAAGTCCTTGTAGGCAGGTGCAGTTAGCTACTTTGCCACTAGGTGGATCTGTACCACCTAGTACCACCTGTACCACCTAGCCATCAGGCCTGTCATCAGGCAGAAGAAGCCTTTCAGGTAGAGCCCTCCTGCAGTGGTGCTGTGGGTGAGGCAGTGCCCAGTTATAAGCCAGGTTGGAGGTTAGGAGTGCACTTGGGGCATGGGAGCTAAACATCCAAACACCAACATGGATGTAATCAGCACATGTAGTCCTTAGACAGGGCATGAGGCTGAGAGAAGTAGACCTGTACTGAGGAAGACTTTTTGTCCTTTATGGAGGTGAGGGCTAGACCAAGAGTTCCCTGAGTAAGGCTGCCTTCCTGAAGGGTCCCGGAAAAGGTGTACCTAAGGAGGAGGTGACCACAGAGAACACAGTCCTGTGGGTACTAATGACCCTGGGTGGAGGAGAGACTAAGTGAGATGGCTCCTAAAGTTGCTTTATTTGCTTTCACATGTGACTACTGCGGACTCTCCACTACATGTAATTATTGTCAAGTGACTACAAAATGTATATCAATGTGATATGACCACTGACATGGTCATGAGTACATCATGAGTAAAATGCGGCAAACTACATTTATGTGTGGACAGGCCTTCCTTGGGATATAAAGATCAATGGCCAGCAATTGTCATGTGGAGGCCTCTGGCATTGAGTCTGGCACAATATGGAGGGAGGTTTGGCCTCAGCAGGTGGGCATGGTATTCTAGCCAAGACAGGAGTGGGGCAGAGACTTATTGTTCTATTGGCACCAATTCTAGCCAATCACAAAGCCCCTCTTACATTCCTGTCCAGGCCAACTCAGCTCCCCCTGCTGTATGCTCCCAGCAGCAGTGACTTGGCAGTCTTCTAATCTGTTGAGATGGGAGAGCTGAGCTGCTGTGTCACTGCTGGAGGAGTGAGCAGGAGGAGCTTACCTGCTGAGCTATTACTGATGGGGGTGGGGGGCAGGGTGATCTGAGCTGCTGAGTTACTGCTGGGAAGGGAACTGAGCTGCTGTGTCACTGCTGTCAGAGGGAGCTGAGCTGCTGAGCCACTGCTGGGAAGGGGAACTGAGCTGCTGTGTCACTGCTGAAGGAGTAAGCAGGGGGAGCTTACCTGCTGAGCTATTACTGACAGGGGGACAGGGTGAGCTGAGCTGCTGAGTTACTGCTGGGAAGGGGAACTGAGCTGCTGTGTCACTTCTGTCAGAGGGAGCTGAGCTGCTGAGTCACTGCTGTCAGAGGGAGCTGAATTGCTAAGACCAGGGGCGGACTGACCATTTAGAAACTCGGGCACTGCCCGAGGGCCCAGGGTCAGTAGGGGGCCCCATGAGATGCCCCTCGTAACTTTTTCATAGGCTTTTTTGAGTTTGGGCAAGGACACAGGGGCCCCATGATCCCCTATTGCCCGGGGGCCCATGAGTTGTCAGTCCGCCCCTGTCACTGCTGACAGAGGGAGCTGAACTGTTCAGTCACTGCTGGCAAAGAGAGGAGGGGTACTTCACTTGCTGAGCAAGTGCTGGGAGGGACAGCATTGGAAGATGCTAAGTCGCAGTGGGAAAAGGGTGAGCTGAGTTGTTGTGCCACTGAAGGGGATGAAACGGAGCTGCTCAGTCAATGTTATAAGTGGGAAGGAGGGGGAGCTGAGTTGCTGAGTCACTGCTGGGAGGAGGTTAGCTGAGCTGCTGAGTCATTGTAGTGTAACTGATCTGCTGAGCTACTGCTAGGAGGGTGAATCTGAGCTGCTACGTCACTGCTGGGGGTGGAACTGAGCTGCTGAGTCATAGCTAAGAGGTGAAAGGAGGGGGAGCTGAGTTGCTCAGTCACTGCTGGGGGGGAGGGAGCTGAGCTGCTGAGTCACTGAAGAGGAACTGAGCTGCTGAGTCACTGAAGAGGAACTGAGCTGCTGCACTACTGCTAGGAAGGTGAATCTAAGCTGCTGAGTCACTGTAGAGGAACTGAACTGCTGAACTACTGCTAGGAAGGTGAATCTGAGCTGCTGAGTCACTGAAGAGGAACTGAGCTGCTGAAGCTAGGAAGGTGAATCTGAGCTGCTATGAACTGCTGCTGGAGCTGAGCTGAAATCTGAGCTGAGTTGCTGAGTCACTGAAGAGGAACTGAGCTGCTGAGCTACTGAAGAGAAACTGCTGCTGAACTACTGTTAGGAAGGTGAATCTGAGCTGCTGAGTCACTGCTGAGCTGGAGCTACTGCTAGGAGGGTGAATCTGAGCTGCTAGTCACTGCTGGGGGGTGGAGCTGAGCTGCTGAGTTATGGCAAGGAGGGGGAAGGAGGGGGAGCTGAGTTGCTGTGTCACTGCTGGGAGGAGGGAGCAGGGTGAGCTGAGCTGATGAGAGAAGGACTTGAATGACATCAATGCTTCTTTTGAATGTCATTCAGCTCAGAAGATTGACATCTTGTGGCCAAAATAGAAAAAAACACTGCAGTGGACAGCTCCCTATAGCTGGTGAATATTGAAGCTAGATCTGTATTTTTATTTTGTACCCCCTGTCTGGCCCACTTTAAATTCAGGGGAAAAAATGTATAAAGCTGGGCTCTAATGCAGACATGTGCTGATCCTACACCAAACTGGCAGCTGGATGTGGTAGCAGCAGGTTGATTGCACTTCTTCGTTCTTTTAGTGCAACCCAGGGACTTTGAAATCTGGGGACCCCCAAATCTGGGAGACACTGGTGCGCAAATACTGACCTCCTCTAGGGAGTTGCTGCCAGAGCCTAGAATAGAAGATTTTGGCACAGAGGTTTTATATCTGAGAACTGATTTTGTGGCTATAAGGTGGGTATACAGTCTTCGGAGTAGGACTATAGGCAGGCCTTTTTTTTTCTTCATTTGAAGGGTTATAACCCCTGCCATGACAAAATGACAAACGAGTCAAAACCAAAAAATAAAAAAACTAAAAGCAAAAAAAGTAAAAAAAAAGAGGCAGATTCAATGGACCAGTTGGGCTTTTTTCTGCCATCACTTTTCTATATTTCTATGATGTACAGTATGTATGGGCAAAGACAGCAATAAAAAACTGACAGGTGTGGTAATCCCTCACTATCCAAAAAAAGTTTTGCCTTTAGTTATACTTTAAAGCGTCAGCAGGTGAAAGGGTGATTCCTGGCAACAAGTGAAACATATCACAACCACAAATTATTTGTTCTTCTTCAAATCCCGCTAGAGGATGAGAGAACAAAAATGGCCCTAAAAGTTCGGAAACTTTTCTCATTATTTCCTTCACTGCTGTGAGGGGTTGAGCTGGTTGGCGGGAGCAGGGCAGAAAAAGATACGCTTGTCAGATTTTTATTCGAGAAGTCAATGAAAGAGTTATTGATTCGGAGATTTATATATATATATTTGTCCAACCGGAAAATTAATTTTCAGTTTCCACTTTGAAAGATGTAATTATTATTATAATACAGGATTTATATAGCGCCAACAGTTTGATCAGCACTTTACAATATAACGGGAGACAATACAGTAACAAAACAAGAGGGTTAGGAGGGCCCTGCTCCTTGGAGCTTGCAATCTAGAAGGGAGGGGTTATTGGTATAAAAGGTAATAACTGTGGGGGATGGACTGGTAGGAGGAATAGAAGATTCCAGTATTAGCTGAAAGCAGGATAGGCTTCCCTGAAGAGATAGGTTTTCAGAGATCGCCTAAAAATGGGTAGAGTAGGCGATAGTCTGATAGATTGGGGTAGGGAGTTCCAGAGGATGGGGGAAGCTCTGGAGAAGTCCTGGAGATGAGCATGGGAGGAGGAGACAAGGGAGCTAGAGAGCAGGAGGTCATGGGAGGAGCAGAGAGGATGGTTTGGGTGATATTTGGAGACAAGATTGGTGATGTCATTTGGGGCGGAGTTATAAATGGCTTTATATGTGATTGTTAATGTTTTGAATTTTATTGGTCGGGCAATAGGAAGCCAGTGGAGGGATTGGCAGAGAGGGATAGAGGACACTGAGTGGAGGCCAGTGGAGGGATTGGCAGAGAGGGGTGGAGGACACTGAGTGGAGGCCAGTGGAGGGATTGGCAGAGAGGGATGGAGGACACTGATTGGAGGCTGGTGGAGGGATTGGCAGAGAGAGATGGAGGACACTG